TTGTATGGTAATAACAATAAGCTTGTCTTCTGGAGGGTTAACAACCTAAGTTTGCAGACCAAAATTAGAGAAAAAGGAGGGCCTCAAGGAAAGCCAACACTTTGGCCCTAGCCTTCCAAGGTCAATTAAGACTCAGGGTATATGAGAACTTGTACTGTAGCATCATGTAACTCAGTAGTGTCCCAAATTTTCTGATCAAGGAGATTATGGGGCCAAAGAGGAAAGTGATTGATGATGTAGAGTGTGCCTAAGGAGAGTCCCATGGAGAGAAAACATTCTCTCAGACTTTCACAGAGAGCACATTGGCCAAACAATGGCCGTGACTCATCCATATGGCTGACACTGACAAAGGTTCTACAATCTGAGGCACAGGATCAGATAAATCCTGAGGTGATTTCACTGACCTTATCAGACCCAAAAGCTACAACTCTTGTTGCATAGGTCTTGCTTTACCTTGGTCTTAACCATCCAGCAGAAAAGTATAAAAACGAAGTATAAGGGGCTGGTGAGATGGCTCAGTGGTCTAAAGCACCTACTTAGAACAAGCTTAGCAAAGCACAGGGACCGCGGTTCAATCCCCCAGCACCACATGCCAGCCAGCCGCGCCCTCTGGTGGCCTGAGCTGGCCACACACACACACAAATAAAATTAAGTAATTAATTTTTAAAAAAACAAAGTATAAGAAGTAAAGCCATGCTGTTATGTTGAGCTGTAGGAGACTCAGGTCAACAATTTCTGACATTGCCAGTCAAGCGGAAGACCCAATACTATTATGGACTACTGGACTCTTAGAATATTTTGCTGAGTTTACACACCTATAATATTCAAATAACGGAACTCAACAACAAAAGGGGATACAGATGAATGTCTATTTTGTATCTATGTATTCAAAGTGGTTAGGATGGGGGCTGGTGAGATGGCTCAGTGGTCTAAAGCACCTATTTGAACAAGCTTAGCAAAGCAAAGGGACCACGGTTCAATCCCCCAGCACCACAGGCCAGCCAGCCGCGCCCTCTGGTGGCCTGAGCTGGCCACACACACACACACACACACACACAAATAAATAAAATTTTTAAAAAATATATTAGTTACATTCTCTTAATGAATAGAGGGATTTGTTCTAATAGTGTTTGTAAATAGGATATCATGTCCACATCTTGTACAATTAACCACTAGGAACAATGTATGCAATGTGTTAATTATTGAAACTGTCCTACCAATTTGATTTGAAACTGTCTCATTGCTATTTCTCAATAAAATTATGGGGAAAAATAATAATAATTAAATGACAGAGGATCCCAGGATGGAAAGAGACTAAGAATCTGGGCATAGGGCCAGGGAGATGGCTCAGTAGGATAAGCGCTTGACTGGCAAATGCAAGGATCTGAGTTCAATCCCCGGTTCTGCAAAAAAAAAAAAAAAGAAGAAGAAGAAGAAGCTGGGCATAGAAGAGCACACCTATAATACCACCTATGATCCCACATGTCACACTGGTCCTGCCCCCAGGGTAGGCAACTGAGGCAGAAGGATCACAAGATTGAAGGTTCCTCAGCAATTTAGACTTAGCAAGACCCTGCCTCAAAATAAAACTGTTGTTTGTTTGTTTGTTTGTTTGTTTGTTTGTTTTTTTAATTTTAGGGAAGGATCTAAAGGGTGTTCAGGGTCACTACTAGATTGGATTCCTAGTGATCCCACTGTTTACAGCCTTCCAAGAGCTGGGATTACAGGCATACTACCTGGGCCTGCTTGCAGGTGCTTAAATCCGCTGAGCTATTTGGCCGGCCCCCAAATTGTTGTTTTTCATTTATGTACTTGGTACAGGGTCTCACTGCACAGCTCATACTTGAAGTGATCCTCCTGTTTTCAATCTCCCTAGCGCTGGGATTACAAGCGTGCACAACCACTCTTGTACTTGGTCCTGGGCTCAGCACGCCCTGGGAGCAGGACCAGTGTGACATGTGGGATCAGGGATTGAACCCTAGTGCCTGCACTTGCAGAAGCAGGTACTTAGTCTGGCGGCCCAAAACATAAATTTAAAAAGGTGCTCAGGATGTAGCTCAGGGAAAAGGCCCTGTGCTCAGACCCCTGTACTGCAAAAGAAAATGATTTTTTAAAAATAAATGGGCCCAGGGAGATGGCTCAGTAGAATAAGCACTTGCCTGGCAAGCACAAGGGCCTGAGTTCAATCCCTGGTTCCACCAAAAAATAAATAAATAAATGATAGGGGGCCAGGGAGTTGGCTCAGTGGACTACACGCTTCCCTGGCAAGCACAAGGGCCTGAGTTCAATCCCTGGTTCTGCCAAAAAATAAATGATAGAATAAATAAATAAATAAATAAATGAGAGCCTGGGTATGGTGGCACATGCCTATAATCCCCAGCGCTTAGGAGGCTAAAAACTGGAGGATCACTAAGCATCCAATCTATGTGGTGAAGGGCCAGGGAGATAGCTCAATAGAATAAGTGCTTTCCTGGCAAGCACAAGGGCCTGAGTTTAATCCCTCGTTCCACCAAAAAAAAAAAAAAAAAAACTATGTAGTTAGGCCCTGTCCTAAAGACTTCCCCCCCCCCCGCCCTGTAGGACCAGGGATTGAACTCAGGCCCTTGCACTTGCCAGGTAGCCAGGTAAGTGCTTATTCTACTGAGCCATCTCCCTGGCCCCTCTTAAGACATTTTATTTTTTTAAGACATTTTAAAAAATAAAATAAATGATAGAAAGTTGTCAAGGTTACTCAAGGTGCCCAACTTTAGGTAGTTTGAAATAATGGTAACAACCACTGAAATGAGAAAATTCAGAGGGACAACTGCTTTGGGAGGGACTTGATGAGTATGTCTTATAGACACATTGAATAAGTTCCAGTAAGATGGGAGAATAAGCAAGAGATTTGTACAGCAATCTGGGCTGGAAACATAGACATGGGATTCAGCAATGATACAGAAGACAGCATAGCGAGCCCAGGAGATAGCTCAGCAGTCTAAGCACATACCTGGCAAGCACAAGGACCCAGGTTTGATTCTCCAATGCCACATGTTGTGCTGGCCTTGGAACCCTGGAAACCCAGAAACCAGGCATGGTGATGCATATCTCTATCAAATAAATAAATAAATGATTTTTTTTTTATTTTTAGGGCAAGTTCTACAAGGGTGTTCAGCATCTCACTACTAGATCAGACTCATAGTGATCCGCCTGTTTACAGCCTCCCAATAGCTGGGATTACAGGTGCGCGCCACCACACCCAGTCTCAATCGCTGTCTCAGAGAGCCTGGGGGAGGGGCGGAAGCACAGCAGGCCCAGGGATGGAACCCCAGCCCCTGTGCCTGCTTGCAGGTGCTTTAATCCACTGAGTTATTTGGCCGGCCCTATAAATGATTTAAAAGAAAAAAAAAAAAAGCAGCATGGAGATATACTGAAACCAGAGGAAAACCTGGTGAAACCTCTAGTTTCACCTGCTTTATCATCAGTTTTAGTGGTCACTTAACTAAACAGTGTACTCCCTTACCTGTGACACATGGTCCTGACAACAATTTGCCTAAATTGTTTTTCACAAACCTGGAGTTACCTCAGACCAGTTGAAGCCACTGTCTTGTGCAAGTGACTGATAGCTACCATTTTGATGTCAGAGGTTCATTTGGCCCTTTGGAGGGCCGGGGAGATGGGTCAGTGGAATAAGCACTTCCCTGGCAAGTGCAAGGGCCTGAGTTCAATCCCCGGTTCCGCAAAAAAAAAAAAAACTTTGGAACCCACTAATGCTGCCATTTTCTTTCCTTTTTTGGGGGGAGGGGTTTTCTTTTTTAATCTGTATTTATTTGGTACAGGGTCTCACTGTATAGCTCAGACTTGTAGCGATCCTCCTGTCTCAGCCTACCTAGCACCAGGATTACAGATGTGCACCACGACTCCCAGTTTCGATGCTGCCATTTTCTTTCTTTCTTTCTTTTTGTATTTTAGGACAGGGTCTACAGGGTCTACAAAGTCTCACTGCATAGATCAGACTCCTAGTGATCCTCCTGTTTACAGCCTCCCAAGTGCTGGGATCGAACTAAGCAGGCGCTTTAATCTGATGAGCTATTTGACCGGCCTATTGCTGCCATTTTCTGAACATGCATTCTATAAATAGAAGTTTGATTAGGCACATACAGATCACTAAAGAACTCCACTTTTCCTTAATTCCAGTCACCTTTCCTCATTCCTCAGACCACCCTGTTTTCATTTTTGCTGTTGGATTTTGTGGTTTTGTTTGACCACTGGGCACTGAACCTAAGGACTTCACAGTAAACTACATCCTTTATTGTTTTTGAGACAGGGTCTTGCTAAGTCCCTAAATTGCCCAAGCTGGGTTCAAACTTTCAATCCTACCTCACTTCCCAGAGTGCTGGGATTGCAGGAATGTGCTACAGTGCCTGGTTAATTAAAAAAAAAAAAAAAAGGCTAGGGATGTAACTTCAGTGTTACAGTGCCTGTATAGAATAGGGAGACACTGGGTTCAATTCCCTGTGTCAGGAGAAAAAAGGAAGGGAGAGAGGAAGAGAGAGATGCTCTTCCTTGACTGTTTATCATTGCACTTCTGCTATTAGATGAGGAAACTGAAGCATACAGAAAAAATAATTTGCCTTAAATCATAGTCAGCAAAGGGCACACTGGAACCTAGGTTCCTGCACTTCTAACTATGAAATTCTCACCTTGGCCTTCAAAGACCTAAGGGCCCAGGCTCCGTTCTCGGGCATCTTTGATACACTGCTCTCCCACCCTCAGTAGCCTTTTCGTTTGTCCCACGGTTAAGGTTATTTCCACAAGCTCCTTTATATAAACTGCGTCCTCTAATTGCAACTGCTCTCCTAATTTTGGTCTAGTTTCATGTCATTTATCTCAGCTCAAATGTAACCTCAGGACATCCTGATCTTCCAATAAAAGGTTACCCAATCACTATGACATCACACTATTTTAATCAGCTGAAGAACATTTATCCTATTTTCCTGGTTTTTCTCTCTTCTCCGCGGCGCCATCAGTTCAGACTGCCATCAGCTCCTGGTCGAGCGAGGGTCTACTCCCAGGGCCTGCGAAGGTCCTCGGTTTGCAATGATTCTTCAATGAGCATGCGCCGAGGAGAGCTGGGCCCTTCCAGGAGGCGGTAGCTCCCGACGCGGCCCAGAATAACGCGCCTGCGCACCTGACGCTCTGCGTGCCCTTTGGCGCGAAGCTTCCTGGGAGTTGTAGTCTGCGGCGAGCTCCCGCGACTACGCGGCCCGCGCACCGAAGAGCTCAGCTCTGTGATCCTCAGTGGCCAGTGTTGCCATGGCTTCTCTGCTAGGTGGTGGCGGCGAAAGGCAACACAGCTGACCGCTGTTGGGCTTCGGCAGGCGCTGGAAGCGGAGGAATCAGACGTGGTGGGTCCGGGTTGGCAGAGTGCGGGAAACCCGAGAGGCATCTTGCCCCCCATTTGTAGAGTGGCTCAACTGGCTCAAGTTCTCCTTCCGAGGAAGTGGCAGAACCTGAACCTGTCCCAGAACCCGGGCCTGCCCCGAGGTCCAGTGCCTGCGTTTGCAGTCGCAGCGCGGCCCCAAACTTTTGCTGGATCATTCGCAGACGTGAGGCAAGGGGGAGGTGGGGGGTAGGGGGCAGTCCTTAGACTTCCCAGGCCCCAGCCCTCACGCACTCTCACTGTGGTGCCGCGCCTAAAGCCACCGCGCATAGCCTTGGTGGAATTTTGAATGAGGTCTTGAAAGTACCACCACCTTTGACTCAGGGCCAGAAGTAAGATATACATGAGACAGTTACTTCAATCAAGGAGCACTGCATCCTGAAGACAAAGGGGAGGGACCTTGCTTTAGAGAGATTATGGTGGTCCTTATTTAGCCTATATTTTAACAAATCCGTTTCAGAGACTAAAGTTTTCTACCTTCAAAACCTGTACAGGGGCTGGAGAGTAGCTCAGTAGAATAAGCGCTTGCCTGGCAAGGACATAGGGCCTGAGTTCATTCACCGGTTCCTAAAACAAAACTATGTACAGTACTTTATGTACTACTTTTTTTTTTGTCATCTAAATTTTTATTTATATGGCAGTTGCATAGTGTAGGCCACTGGCAGTGTGGCCACTTGGCAACGTTAGCCTCTTCTGGTAACTTGTGTCCTTTGCACATTCCAGGGCTCCAGCTCAGACCCTCAGAGTCAGGAACTGGGAGTGGGGCTCAGCAGTCTGTGATCTAACAAGCCCTCTAGGTGATTATTTTTTTTGGGGGGAGGATGATTCTAATCCACGCTAGCATTTGGAAATTTTGTTTTTGTTTGGCAGACTTGAAAGTTGAACCCAGAGTCTTCACACCGAAACTATATCCCCAGTCTTACTTATTTGCTCTCCAAAAAAGTTTGACCTGTTTAAAAATCATTATTTTATTAGCACGTGTTTTAGTACATAATGATTACATTCATCATGGGGAGTTGGCACATGTACATGACAGTTCTTAATTCCTTTTACTTTTCCTCTTCCCCCTTCACTTTTTTTTTTTTTGTGTGGAACTGGGGATTGAACTCTGGTCCTTGCACTTGCCAGGTAAATGCTTATTCTTGCCCCCCCCCCACTTTTATTTTTTGAGACTGGATCTCACTACATAGTTGTTACCCCCGCTGGACTTATTTTTTTGTTTGTTTGGGGGGGGGGGGTTTGGCAGAACTGGGGATTGAACACAGGCCCTTGCGCTTGCCAGGGAAGTGCTTATTCCACTGAGCCATCTCCCCGGCCCTTCTCATTTTTTTTTTTTTTAATGTAATTAGTACAGGGTCTTCAGGGTCTCACAGGCACATGCCACCATGCCAGGTGTCATTCGCTGTCGCAGCATGCCCTGGGAGATTGAGCCCTGTCCCTGCACCTGCCTAAACAGGCACTTTAATCCACTGAGCTATCTATCTGGTGCTTTAATCCGCTGAGCTATCTGGTCAGCCCTTGGACTCAAATTTTTTATCCTATCTCAGCCTCCCAGAGTGCTGGGACCATGGGCATGTACCATCTCATCCCTAATTCACATAAGAGTCAGATTCTGTTTGAGTAGGTCCGGAGAGAGACTCAAAATTGTTTTTTGTGGGGCCAGGGAGATGGCTCAGTAGAATAAGCACTTCCCTGGCAAGTGCAAGGGCCTGAGTTCAATCCCTGCTTCCGCAAAAAAAAAAAAGTAAATTGTTTTTTGTTTGTTTGGTTTTCATTTTTCTTGAAACAGAGTTTCTCTTTGTAGTGCAGGCTGGCCTTGAACTCATTATGTAGCCCAAACTGGCTTCCAACTCACTGTGATCCTCCTGCCTCAGCCTCTGGAGTGCTGGGATTTCAAGTGTGCACTTGTCAAAAGCAAGACCCAAGCTTTTGTATTTCTAACATTTGCCCTGGGGATCCCAGCCCACAGAACAGATTTTTCTTTTTTTCTTTTTTTTTTTTTGCGGAACCAGGGATTGAACTCGGGCCCTTGCGCTTGCCAGGCAAGTGCTTATTCCACTGAGCTATCTCCCCGGCCCCACAGAACAGATTTTGAGTAGCAAAGATGTAAACTATTTTAAGGCAGTGTTTCTCAAGATTGTTAGCACATTACCTGGGGAACTTTTAAGTTTAGGATATCTGGGCCTTACCTACCCCCAACCAAATATATCAGAATCTCAGAGGTGTGGAGGCCAGGTAAAAATTCCCCAGGTTGGCCAGGAATGGTGGCACATGCCTGTAATGCCAGCAGTGGAAAAGGGTAGGCTGAGGCAGGTGGATTGCCACAGTCAGAGGCCAGCCTACAAAATTTTCACCTCATGAGGTTATTCTCATGAACCATAAAGGCTCACAACCACTGTTATGATATTGATATTCAAGGTTTTGGTTTTTGTTTTGGCAGAATCAGGGATTGAACTCAGGCCCTTGCGCTTGCCAGGGAAGTGCTTAGTCTACTAAGTCATCTCCCCAGCCCCGCAGCTATGGGTTTCAATCCTACCATTTCCATTTAGCAATTACATGATCTTGGGCAAGTGGTAAGAATGATTTGGTCTGTTCTTGCCATATTTTCCCCATCTATAAAGGATATAAGTATGTATATCAAACCTATATCCATGAGGCAAAAATGGGAGGTGGTCGGGGGAAGGCTGGTGGTGGGTTGTGAGAGGCTGCTGAAGGTGATTCTGCAGCGCAGCCCCTGGCCTGCTAGAGCTCCCATTTGTGTGCTTCTGCCCACAGCAAGCAGCCAGCCTGTGTGGAAGAATGGCAGTGAGCCACTCCGTGAAGGAGCGGACAATCTCTGAGAACAGCCTGATCATCCTGTTGCAGGGCCTTCAGGGTCAGGTGACAACTGTGGACCTCCGGGATGAGAGTGTGGCCCACGGACGCATAGACAACGTAGATGCTTTCATGAACATCCGCCTGGCTAAAGTCACCTACACAGACCGTTGGGGGCATCAGGTTGAACTGGATGACCTCTTTGTAACAGGACGAAATGTCCGATATGTCCACATCCCAGATGATGTGAACATCACCGCCACCATTGAGCAGCAGTTGCAGATCATCCATCGAGTGCGAAACTTTGGCAGCAAGGGCCAAGGCCGGCAGGAGTTTCCCACCAAAAAATATAAATGAGTTTCTCGCCTCAGCAAGTCTTAGCACCAACTCAGGTTCCTCCCATGTTCTCGGCCAACTCCTGCTGCCCTCCCAGCCTGGGACCTAGTATGGGACAGACATGACTTGCTATTGCTGTTTTTCAGAGGGTTCTACTTCCTGGACTCACCCTGGGACCCAGAACCCTGTCTGTCTACCTGCCTATGATCTTGGGGTAGGTGATAGTCCTCCTTTTGGATCATTTGAACCCAAATACGATTTTCTGATTTAGGAAATTTTTCAGGCAGTTTTTTTTTTATTTTTTTTATTTTTTTTTTTTTTAATTTTTTATTTGTGTGTGTGTGTGTGTGTGTGTGTGTGTGGCCAGCTCAGCCCACCAGGGTACGGGGCTGGCTGGCATGTGGTGCTGGGGGATTGAACTGTGGTCCCTGTGCTTTGCTAAGCTTGTTCTAAGCAGGTGCTTTAGACCACTGAGCCATCTCACCAGCCCCTTCAGGCAGTTTTTAATTCTCTCCCAGTAAGTGTTATTAAATGTTACTGGTCTGAGTCACCCCTAACTTCCCATTTCTCTTGTAATTGTATCCATTTTCTCATAAAACTGAACTTGAATATGAATGTATCCACGCCTGGTGCTTTCCCTTCCAGGTGCTGGGCGTCCTATTGGTCCCGTGTAGTAGGGCTCATGGTCTCTGGGCTGCATGTTGGAATCACACGCACAGCCTGGCCCCAGCTCAGACGCAGATTTAGTTGGTGTACAGGGTGGCCCAAGCACTGAGACTTTTATTCTTAATACTGGCCCTTGAACCCAGGGCCTTTGTCCTAAGCTATATCACCACTTTTTATATATTTATTTTTAAATTCTTACACAGGGTCTCCCTAAGTTACTAAATTGCCCAAGCTGTGCTCAAATTGGTGATCCTCCTGCCTCAATCTACCAGAGTTCTGGGATTACAGGCATGTAGCGCCACACCCTACTACACTAGGGCTGTTCTAAATTTTCCCACATGACTGTAATATGTAAGAAAGAGAAGTGTACTCAAAGAATATTTTAGTGGGGTCAGGTGGAAAGTGCATTTCTATTCAGATACCTGCTGAAGAAGCAGTTAATCCCATTGCTGTTTCCTGAAGCAGAGAGGCTGGAACATTCCTGGGCCTCAGCTAGGGCATGGGAGTCCAGCCAACAGCAAGAAATCAGCCGTGGATTCTAAGAGTGTTCTGGCACCAGGGTTAGAACCCAAATCTTCGTGGTGGTTGCCCTGTGGTCATTCTAAACCCCCACAGACAACCATCTTAGTGACAGTGACTGTGTCCTGTGGAGGGAACCGAAGAGTTTATCAGATAGGCAAAGAGTACCTGCCAGGTGCCAGGTGCCAAGGCCTTCTGCATAGCATGTGTTATTGGATAAGGACTGAACCTATCTGGAAAGGAGCATATAGTAAATGCTGGGTCCGGGGAGAAGGCTCAATAGAATAAGTGCTTGCCTGGGAAGCACAAGGGCCTGAGTTCAATCCCCAGTTCTGGAAAAAAAAAAAAGTAAATGCAGGGAAGGAGGTGATCGGGAGGGACCACGATAAAGCTCAGCTTTCACACTGCTGTACCCGAGTTTGGAAAGGCAGGATCTCAGACCTTAAGGCATTCCAGTTTCTTGAGATTTGAGAAAAGAGTGTTCATTTGACCCTAACAAGTCACTGCATTTGTAGCCTAGATTAGTGTTTGTGGAGGTGGTATCCTTGGACCAACTCATCAGAAACAATGGAGATGTGCGTGGAAAAGAAAAGAGGAAGGGATGGACATGAGCTTTCCTGACTCCCTCTGACTCCAGACTTCAACCAGAATGGGGGATCCAGGAGTCTGCATTCAGACCACCCACCCTGCATGACTCCTCTGCAAACTGATGACTAGGAGTCCTGGGAAAAATCCCCCCCAAAACTAAAATGTCCCCCCAAGGTTCATGCCCTCTTAGATGGTGGGGCTTTGGGAGATTGGTGGATTACAAGGGTTGACAGCTAGCAGGAGGGTCTGGTGAGAAGTGTTTGGTTGCTGGGGGCGTGGCCTTGAAGGGCCTCTCCTCCCTGCCCCCATCCCTCTGCTGCAACACCTTGCCTTGGAGCAGGCTGACTACAGACTGAGCCAAAACAAACCTCTCCTCCTCAGAGTTGTGGGTATCAGGTGGAATTGTGTATCAGCAACAAGAAAGCAGCTGAGAAACAAGATCACCAAGGTAAAGGAAACAAGGGGCAGGTCCAGACGGGAAATTCTGAGGGTGAAAGATGCTCATCAAGTAGGGACAGAGCTGACAAGCTGCAGAGGCTCCCTCAGCAGCAGCCTCCTCACAGACCTTGCCCACACATTTACACACATTTCCAGACTTGAAGAGAGCTCCTGCTGGGGCTTTGGTCTAGGAGTAGAGCAAAGGTCTACTCTGAGCCTTGTATGACACGCCAGGCTCTTCTTTAGCTTCACTGGGACCAGCCAGGGAAGTTACAGAGTGAGAACCTGTTTCTTAAGCATCTTCTGTAGGCCATCTGTCCGTGGGAAAGAAGGGAACCAGGCCTTGTTGAGACACACTTTTGCCAACCCCTGGCTGAGAGCAAAGCTGATTGTGAGCCCTGCGGATATGGCCCTTTCTCAGTCCTGGAATGTGGTGAAGGCTTCAAAGGCCAGGGCTGAAGCCCAGAATGTTCAATGCTCGCCATCCTGTAGGAAGCCAGGAACTCCCTGACTGCTACTGGTTAGTCATTTCAAAGCATTAAGTGTGTCTCAGGCACACTAGTGACAACTGAAGGAGCATCACAATGGACAAGAGCCAGGTACAGTGGTACACAATATCCTGGGAGCCTGAGATGGAAAGAGCACAAGTTTGAGCCCAGCCTGAGCAATTTAGCAAGGCTCTGATTTAAAATTTTAAAAATATAAGCTGGTCATGGTGGCAGCACACACCTATAATCCCAACATTTAGGAGTCTGAGGCAGAAAAATTACGAGTTGGAGGCCAGCCTGGGCTAGATCGAGGCCAGCCTGAATTGCAGAATGAGATCCTGCCTCAAAGAAGTAATGGGTAAATAACCAAGTCAGTTAATAAAACTATGATTTAACTCAGTGCAAAGGCTATAGCTTCATTCCCCAATTCAGAAAGAAAGGTGGCTTGCCCGCAGTTATATGACAGTCTGTGCTGGTGGGGGACATATAATAAACCAACCACGTAAACATGTATACACATGTAGGGCCGGGGATTTAGCTCAGTGGAGCAGCACCTGTCTGGCATGCATGAAGTCTTGACTTTAATTGCTGGCACCAAAAAACCAAAGACATTAAACAAATCTATACAGATTTTGTGAAGGAAAACAAAAAGGTCTTTTGAAAGAATAACAGAAGTGGTTTCAGGGTTTAGAAAGTGGTCTGAGGAAGTGAAATTTGAACTCAAGTAGCCTGCTATTTAAAGAGCCAGGGGAACGGGGATGTGGTGGTACACACTTGTGATCCCAGCACTCAAGAGGCTTAGGCAGGAGGCTGAGGTGGGAGAATTACTGAGAGTTTGAAGCGAGCCTGGACTACATAGTGAGTTCAAGGCCAGCCTGAACTAAAGAGCTAAGGGGCAGCAAAAGAAACTACCAGATCCAAAGTTCCAAGGAGGGGACAGCTTAGGGGTTTAGCATGGATGACAGTACCATTGTGACTATCATAGAAGAGAGAGAGGTAGGTGAAGTAGAGAAATGGGAGCGGAGGCAAATAATACGATGTAAGCAAGGAGTGTGCAGATTATAATTTTCTCTCTCTGTCCCCACTACCCTGGTCCCGCACATGCACATGATCTATAGCCCCAGCTTCTGGTTGCAATTTCTTTCTTCCTTTCTTTCTTTCTTTCTTTCTTTCTTTCTTTCTTTCTTTCTTTCTTTCTTTTATTTATTGGTGTTTTGAGACAGGATCCTACTAGGTAGTCCAGGATGATGTTAAACTTGCTATATAGCCCGAGAACTACCAACGGTCCTCCTGCATCAGCCTCTTGAATGCTGGGATCACAGGCGTATGCCATCACACTCAAGCTCTGGGTTATTATTTCTAATATGTAGGAAACAGAACCTGAACTTTAACTCACTCAGAGTTCCTGTTTCACCCATCCAGTCAGGGTGGCAGAAACTCAATTACATCATTTCAGTTCCCTGCATTTTCCTTGGGCTTATGTTTGAATTGAGAGGCACTTCCTTTAAAGCTGCCAGTGCCTGGGAGGAGAAGGGTGGGTTTGATGTGCTGGTCACTCAGGCACACGAGCACCCACAGAGATGCCCCCATTTTATTTTATTTTTATTTTTATTTTTTTGGCAGAACCGGGGCTTGAACTCAAGGCCTTGCGCTTGCCAGGCAAGTGCTTATTCTACTAAGCCATCTCCCTAGTCCCAGTGTCCCCATTTTAGGTGGGATTTTCTGTCATCAGTTCTCAAAGGTTGCTGCTCCCTGAATTGCCTCTTCCTGACTAAAAGAACACCCTGCATGTCACCTCTTAGGTGGTTTTTGTTTGTTTGTTTTTCTGTTTTCCTCAGGCTGTGTCAGGCTCAGAAAATTCTTAGGTTAACTGGGCCCTGGTTTAGCCATATGGAGCACACAACTCCAGAGCTTCATTTCTCTGAGGGTTCTGTTGCCTCCTTGCTGCTATATCCTGGAACAGGACCAGTGCCGTCCTTTGCTCTCTGACCCAGGAATCCAACTGACAATTCCAGCAAGAGGTCCAGGAAAAGCTATTCTGTTGTCAGGGACCACCATCTTTTCACCCAGATCCCCCTGTTACGTAGTTTTCTAAATTTGTTTCTGCACAGAAATTCTTCCCATTCCTCCCTAAAAGCTGGGATTTTTGAAATAAAAAAGCTAAAAATGAACCCTGCAGTCTGTTGTGGCCTTCATATCCTGGACTAACAAATGAAGAATAGCCTCACTCTGTAAGAGAGGGGCCCATGGGCACCCAGGAAAAGATGGAAAGTGTTTCTCCTGTGGGCACTATTCTGTCAAAGAATTTCTGTGCAGAAACACACTGTGCGCTCCTCATTGCCAAGCATAGGCATCTGCTTTTCCTGAGCTTCAGCCAGGGTGAGATCCCAGGGTGTGACAGAACCCTCAGAAGTTCTGAGTGCTCAATTGATACAAAGTATCCTCTCTGAAAAATTTAAATAAGCAAACAAAAAACAAAGTATCCCCTTTCCTTGCCCCCATTCCTGAATAGGATAGCTCAGGAGTCCCTCATTTGAGAGAGGTGACTACCAAAGCTCAGGAAAGCCAGGTAGGCAAGCACCTGACAGTTCAGCTCTCCTAGAGAAATACTAAGGATACAGCACAGCCAGCTTTCAGCATGGCCAAGGTGGCTGGAACTCATACCTGTTCAGTAAGCTCCAGGCTGGCATCTCTCCCTGAAGGGGCTGCAAGAATAGCAAGGATTCCTTGAGATCGCAACAGTGTTTCAAAAGAACCCACAGAAACAGCACTTAAATTGTGAAGGATAGTAAATAGGCCTACTTTTTACTCCCTGATGGAATTATGCCAACACCATGGTGGTTGCATCGGCCTGTTACCCCTGATCACGAGCTCCAGTGGCTATAGTTTAAGGTCATCATCAATACAGAGGATGAAATTGCTCGATGCAAGTTGTATGGCAGAAAAAATTTACCAAATGTAAGTCTGTCTTTTTTTCTGTTTTTTAGGGAAGGGTCTACAGGGTGTTCAGGGTCTCACTACAAGATTGAACTCGTAGTGATCTGTCCATTTACAGCCTCCAAAGAGCTGGGATTACAGGCATGTGCCACCATGCCCAGTCTCAATTGCCATCTCAGTGCAGCATGTGCACGGCAGGCCAGGGGATCAAACCCCCGGCCCCTGTGCCTGCTTGCAGGTGCTTTAATCCCCTGAGCTATTTGGCTGGCCCCCAAATGTAAGTCTTTTTTTTTTTTTTTGCGGTACCAGTGGTCAAACTCAGGACCTTGCACTTGCCAGGCAGGCGCTTATGCCACTGAGCTATATCCCTGGCCCCCCAAATGTAAGTCTTATGTGGAAGAAAAGTACTAAAAAGGGTCTTTAAAGGTAGAAAGGTTGGTAATCACTGGCACAGTCCAGCTCTGTCACTTCACAGTTGAGGAACCTGAGGCCTAGAGAAGGGAAAGGGCTCTCCCTAGTCCCCATGGTTAAGTTAGAGACAGAATCCTAAGATGGACATCACAATGGTAATCAGAAATAGCAACTGCCCTGTCATGCCCTGTCCCAGGGACTCTTGATGCTCCATGAGGTCAGAGCAGGCAACAGAGGGCCCCCACCACCAGCCATTGTGCAATCTCACTATATCATCATTAACAACCACATTTTAAGTATACAGATAGACTCAGAAAAATAATTTATGGAAGGAGAACAACAAGAATAAGGGTTTGAACTGAGATCTGCCTGCCTCCCAACTCCGTGATTCTTTTTTTTTTTTTTTAATTTCATTTATTTATTTATTTATTTTTATTTAACATTTATTGTGTGTGTGTGGCCAGCTCAGCCCACCAGGGGGCGGGGCTGGCTGGCATGTGGTGCTGGGGGATTGAACCGTGGTCCCTGTGCTTTGCCAAGCTTGTTCCAAGTAGGTGCTTTAGACCACTGAGCCATCTCTCCAGCCCCTCCATGATTCTTTTTTCCAGTGTTCTGGACTGAACCTGGGGCCTCTGCACCAAGCTACAGCCCCATACCTTCTTTGTCTTGCAAACTTGCCAAATTGCCCAGGCTAGGTTTAAATTTGCGATCCTTCTGCTTTTGTTTCCCAGAGCACTGGGATTGCAGATGTGTGCCACCACACCCAGTCCAACTCCATCATTTTAATGAAGATGGTATCTGCTTCCCATCCTGTTGTTTTTTGTTTTGTTCTGTTTTGTTTTTTCCCTAAGATCTTTCTGTGTAGCTCAGGCTGGCCTTGAATTCAGTCATCTTCCTGCCTCAGCCGCCTAGGTACTAGGATTACAGGCTTGAGCTACCGCACCCAGCCCAGCACTCTTGGTGTCATACTGTTGTCAGGATAAAGTTGGACTTGTCTCTGCTTATCTTAGTTTTCCTGCTCAGCCACCATGTGGGTCTGACACTCAAAATGTGCCATCCCCAGACCTTGGGGCTTGCCCAAAAGAAAGGCCAAAACCCAAAACAGACAGTAAGTACAGCTGGCCTTCAGAAGCCTGAAGAAGATTCCAGGGGCTTGAGGGTCTCTTCCCCTTTCTGTGACAGACAGATCTGCCTCTTCTTCATCAAGGAACCATGTTGTGTTGTTGTGACAGGTGTCACTTTGTTATGACAGCACAGTCTGCCAGTCAGCCAGAGTTGGAGAGCCAGAGGAAGTGTGTCACCGTGTGTGTCTGTGTCTCAGCCATCTCCTCATGTTAGTGTCCTGGTGACAATTTTCCTTTTTCTCTAGCTGGCACCTTTACTTACTTTCTTTTTTTTTGTACTGGGGATTGAACTCAAGACTGCGCTTGCCAGGCAAGTGCGTATTCTACTGAGCTATCTCCCCAGCCCCCCACCTTTACTTTCTATTCATTATCTCTTCCAACTTCTTTCTCTTCCTCCTTCTCTCCTTTGGTGAAATCCTATATTTTGAATCAGCTGAGACTCTCCTGGGGGTGGGGCTAGGGGTATCATTGCCAAGTGATTCATCTGTTTGATAATTAGGGCCCTGGAAAACACAGATCTCATTCTTGTCAGAGTCAAGGCTTCCGGAATCCCAGGGCTTCTCCCTTCGTCAAAAAGAGAAGCATGGAGAGCTGGGGCCTGACTTCTCCATATCTGTCTCTAGGCTATTGACCTTGTTGAGGCTCTGCCACTAAGGTGACACTTTCTGGGTCCTGTGAGCTGCTTTCATAACTTACTGAGTCCTCACAATGATCCTATCAAATGTTAATTTCTGTCCGGATAGGCAGGAAGTTCTGGAAACTTACACTTAGTTATCTAGCTTGTAAGTGACACAGGAGGGATTTAAATTCTAGTTTTTAGCAATCCACTGGACTGGGTTCAAATCACAGTCCTACAATTATTGGCTGTGTGCCTCTGGACAGGTTACTTTCCCTCTCTGAGCCTTATCTGTAAACAGGTGCCTAATGCTGGTGTCTCTAACGTGCATAATGCAGTGAATGGCACAACAGTGAGAAATGCTCTGATTACTGTTGCCCCGCCTTCTACGCAGTTTAATGGATACTACAGAGAAACAAAGAAAAGGAAAGTGGTGGTGGGCAGCCAGACCTCCCTCAGATCAGCCCTCATGTCCAGGTACTACTTGGGTGTAGGTGGCAAATTCACATTCATATAAGTGCCTGGCCACACACCCTAAAACCCAGCAGGGTACACAGGCTCGGCACCTGTGCCCACACATGGATACAGAATGACCAGGGGACAGCTGGAAAGACAGCTGAGAGTTAAAGTCGCAAGCAACAAGCATCCCTGCTCATTTCGCAGAGACAAAGGACTCAGGCTATGGCCGCTGGTGCTGCCGCCACTGAGCCCTTGTAGCTGCTTTCTGCATGCCAGGGGAGGGAAGTCAGGCTCTCAGAGGCCCCCTGTGATTCACCAGCCTGATGCAATCCCTTTAAAGGGCTCATCTGCTGGTGCAAGAAGCTGATTCATGGAGGGCGTGGCTGCTGGAGGAGGAGAAAGGGATTGAAACTGGTGGAGAGACTAGGTTAGGTGACTGGAATCGTTACTAGGAACTCTTTCCTGTAAACCAACCCCGGTCAGGACTACGGGGATCTCCAAACTGAAGCTCGCCAACTCAGGGTTTCTAAAGGGCTTAGAGAGGACAATGAATTATGAGCCTTACGACAGGAATTCCTGTTTTTTATTGAGCCTGACTGCAGAGCTTCTCGCTCAGAGTTCCAGACTCCAAGAAATAAGCATCAAGGAAGTATCGCTTTTCTTATAAATAAACGATAGTTGGCTGACTTCCAGCGGCTGAAGAGTTCAACTCCCGCCGGGTGAGTTGTACTGCCCGCGAAATTCTAGGGCGTCAAGGTGGGGCAGTGCCTCCGTCCCAGACTCATGGCAGACATCGATTAACGGTAAGTACCACCCCCATAACTCTCGGCCTCCAATAGTTTTATAGCTTACGGCCCAGGCCACACCTTGAACCAATCAGCAATCGGAGTCTGGACTCTTGCCTGAAGGCTTCCGCCCATCGTCAAGATGGCGACCCAATCAGAGGGACGCGGGCCTCAGACGCATGAGGGGCGTGTCCGGGCCGGGCGGGGCTGCAGCCGGGAGGGGGGCGGTGCGTCACTTCCGTTGTCAGGTGGCGGCGCCGCAGCCATGGAGGGAGGCGGCGGCGGCGGCTCCGGTGGCTACGCTGGGAGGTGGCGGTAAGCGGCTCCCACGCCCCCGGCCCGGCCCCGGCCCCCAGGGACGGAGCGCCGAGCAGCCCCGAGTGCGGGCTGCGGACTATGGGCGAGCAGCGCTGACCACCCGGGGAAGGTGAGACAGGGGGTCTCAGAGCAGGGAGCCGGGCGGGCGTTGCGGCTTGACGGAGCGGGCCTCAGCGGCCGTGGCCGTGGGACCAGGGTAACAGAAATCACAACAGCGGATGACCCCTCCTCTGCTGAAGGGCTGCCCTTCGCCGGCGACAGGGCTACAGGGAGATTCAGTACCCGCCACAACCCTTACTTAGTGGGCACTACTCACCCACCCTTCCCGGAGCTACTCGCAGTAAGTGAAGCAGTTGGTATTTAAACCTAGCCAGGTTTTCCCAGAGAGACGCCTTCTGCCTCTCATTGCTTCCTCCTGATGTCAAGAGTGACTTGAAAGTTGGGATGGATCCCCGTGCAGAATTAGCCAGGGGTTCCTCCTGGAGCCCTCACGGGTTGGCACCGGCCCCATGGCTACTGAGGAATTATTTCACGTTCAGGTGGAAGCTACCTGCTTGCCAGGTCCGCGTTTAGCTGGTCTTTTCCAAGGGGCGACCTTGCCGTGGTCAGTGTTTCACCTGCCTTGCCCAGTCAGGCCGGCCCATTCCCACGCCCCTTGGCCCCACCTTCCAGCTAGTAGGTCTGAGCATTCAGACTCCTCATGGTGTTCTCTGTCCACCCACACTCCCCAGGTTTGTTGCCCTTTTGTTGGCGGAAGGAAGAGATGACAGTCAGCGTTCTGTAGCAGGATAGACTTTGCTCTGTTTTAAGTCACTAGAGGAAACCAGTTGGCTTTGCTTGGTTTGGAGAACCATGGCGAAGAGGGTAGTCATCCTGGGCTGGGCTCCTTTCCCTCTTGGTGAATTGTTTTGCATGAGATAAGGAACAGCAGAACGCATAATTGTAGAGACCAGAGAATCCTTATTTGTGAACTCTCCAGCTCTCCTTACTGACCTTCTATGCCAGCTGTTTGTGGATTAGATCTAGACAGCCTAAAGATAGCTTTGGGCCCAGGATATAGCTCAGTGGCACAGTGTCTGGCAAGGTTGAGGTCTTGAGTTCGATTCCTGGTACCATAAAGAAATAAAGATAGCATTCATTCATTCATTCATTCATCCCTCACATAACAGGGTCCTTGCTTGTAGTGCATGTGCAATACATGATAGTGTAATAGCTAAGAGTAGGTATTGGAAGCTGGTGTTTGTGACACATGCCTGTAATCCCAACACTCAGGAGACTGAGGCAGGAGGATTGTTGTGACCTCAAGCCTGGCCTGGGCTGCATAATGCATTCAAGGCCAGCCTGCACTACACAGGAAGACCCTGTCCGAAAAAATAAAACAAGAAACAGTATGTGCTAGACTTCCTGAGTTCAGCAGCTTTCTAGCTGTGTGACCTTGGGCACTTTGCCTAACCTCTCTGCTTTATCTACAAAACAGTGATTATAATATAGTTATAAAAGAATTAACAAGTTAAACATAAATATAGAACTGTCTACTACATAAGAGTTCAGTAAGTGTTAGCTTTTCCTATCTACAAGCTCAGTGGTCTGGTTAGGGAAAACAACTGTAAGCAAATAATTGAAATGTGATCTGAAAAAGCTACTTGGTAGCAGACTGTAATTTCATCTACCCATGAGGCAGAGGCAGGAGGATTTCAAATTCCAGCTTAGCCTGGGCAATTTAGTAAGACCCTGGCTCAGAATAAAGTGTTCAAGACTTAGCTGAGTGGTAGAGCACTTCGCTAGCACGTGTGAGCCTCAATCCCCAATACCATTAAAAACAAGCAGGAACAGAACGCTGTGCAAGCCCCACAGAGGAAGCTGCTAGCTGCTTATCTAGCCAGGAATGTGAAGGGTGCATTGGGAAGTCTTGCATAAGGGAGATTGGAGCCAAGTCTTGAATGAGAGCAGAGAGAAGCCTAGCTAGGTGAGAATGAAAAGGAATGTGTTCTACTGAAAGAGAGATTGACAGTTTATTCCAGAAACCTCAGATTGTTTTCACTGTAGTATAGAAGTTGACTTGGTGCAAGATGAAGCAATATTAAGTTGACTAAGGAATGTCTGTTAACGATTTGCAACTTTATGCCCAGGGCACTGGAGAGACAGTGACCAAAGGAGTGACGTGAATGAATCTATGTTGTAAACAGATCTCCTTGGAGTCCTAGTACAGGAGGGAAGAAAGAGGAGAGAAGGACCTCTTTGGAGATCACTGCAGGCTTCTGAGCAAGGAGAGTTGGAAAAGCACAGTAGATTTCTGCCAGGAGCACACTGCAGCCAGGGGCTAGCCCTCTCAGGGTTTGGGCTTCTTAGCTTGGCAAAGAAATATCTGGTACATAGACCTTTCTCTTTCTGGGATTACAGTTGTGTAAACTGCCACCCTACTGAGGTGAGACTGCCATCTCAGAAGTCCAGTGGTAAGGGGTATTGCATTTGCTCATTTGTGCCTTTAATTTGACTTTTGGGATGCCAAAAGGGTGTAGCGGCTTAGTTGTTTGTGCCATCTGACAGAAGTGACTTCTAATCCCAACCCTACTGATCACTTACCTTATTCCCTCCATGCCCAGCTTTCTCCTCTGCAAAACCAGGACAGCAAGAGTAGTCCCCTAGTGGAACAGTTGTGAGGATGAAATGAGACTTTGCAGGTTGAGTATTTAACACTCACTAAGGAGTGAAAGTTTGATGTTGGCTTTTTTTACAGCCTGCAGGAAAGAATTTCTAGGAATTAGTTGAAGCAACCCATGGCAACTAGAACTATGTCCTGCTGAGCTGTCAGAACTGTCTTGAGGAATTACAGGATCACAAAATTTTACTGTATTCTTTTTGAAAAGGAAATCTGTGGGGAGTTTGCCCAGTCAGAATAGGAGTACCACAAATGATTCAGTGTGGCTCTCCAAAGCAACCCTTTTTCAAATAGAAGTAAGACTGCAACAGAAAAACAAAACAAACAAAAACCAGGATTTTAAGGTACACATGGGAGAAAATGTATTTAGGGTTCCTCTGTGTGAGTCTGTACAAATGATCCTCATCTAGTGCCTGAATTAGCACCATCAAAGAGACATTAAGAACATTAATGGGGCTGGAGAGATGGCTCAGTGGTCTAAAGCACCTACTTGAAACAAGCTTGGCAAAGCACAGGGACCGCGGTTCGATCCCCCAGCACCACAT